GGAGCGAACCCCCAAATGACTCTGAGTCTGGTCGCATCCTCTTCTTCCAGGCGAAGCCCTCAAGATCTGGAGCTATGTTGGGCAATGGCAGCCATACATGACCAACCATCAAATAATGTGTTTTGCGAAGACAATGCGGAAAAAAAAAAAAGCAAATGAAAATGCCAAAGCAGCGCAATGTGCTTTGTTTTTGCATTTGTTTTTTTTGTTTGCTTTTTTCCTGGTACCACTTCTGTACTTATGGGAACCTTTACCCGTCAGTCAGCCATATTTGCTGTACGCTCCTAGGAAAAAAGCGAAAAATCCGAAAATAAATAATGCGAAAATAAAGCGAAAAAAATGCGACAAACACGCACAGCTACATGTTTTTTTCTTTTTGGTGTGCTTTACCATTTGTTTGTTTTTGCTCTATAAAATCTTGTTTTGGCTCCTTGTATCTATGGCTGGCGCGCCCGACATAAATCTGGAGGTAAAGCAGATGGGGAAGCAAATGGGTGATAGAAATGATGGGAACCATCGCTTTTGGCCAAGTTGCACATTCGAAACGCGATGATCACTCGACGAGGGCCCCAGATACACGGCCCACAGGTCCTCCGCTTCTCTCTGATCTTCTGGATGATCTGGGCCATCTACAGCTTGACCCGCAGGCTCTACAGCTTCCTCTCGATCATCTTGAGCCTCCTCCTCGGAAACCAGAACAGTATGGTAGGATTCCAGAACATCATCCCGCCCACCTGGAGCAAGGGCATTTTAGCGATTATACATGATTATAGGAAATTATAGGACTCCTCCTGCCGGAGATGTCACAGAAAAAATGGAGGACCTTTAAAGAACGGTGTTTCTTCATTTCAGTGAGATGCGGGAAGAGTGCATGTGTACATGCAGAATACATGGTATCGCTTGGCTACATCTAAGCAACATAACTGTCAACCGCAGGAAAACCGTGCAATTGTCATGCACAATCTCACGCCAATGACTACAGTATCAGGACCAGATCCAGGCGAGTGTTTGAAGGGGTGGTTTGGAAACTCATGATGGCAAATGCCAAATGCCCCATCCCTCTCATCCTCTTCCCTCTGATCAAGGAGCCATCGGCTCCAAAACCTTCGCCCGTAGGTCAGCTTCTCTGGGTTGTCCACACTCAACAGTCTTGTATGGTTGTATAACGTTATATATAACACAATAAAATCAAATATACTAATATATAATTCAATATAATATAGTGTTTAATATTGTATTGATCACATTAACTGTCAACCGGCTGCCTCTCAAGCGACTTGCTACGGTCCTTGGTTTCCTCCCGAGCCCCGTCGGGCCCGTCGGGCCCGTCAGGCCCGTCGGGCCCGGGCTGGTCCGGCGCTGCTGGCGCCTCCGCAGGCTGCGAGGGGCCTGGGCCGAATGGGAATACATACCAGGGCCCCCTAAGAGGTGGTTAATGGAAGCCTATAGGTAGTGTGGGGTAGCCCATTGGACACACCTTGGAGGGTCCTGGTAGCGATGGCCTCCAACCGCTACGAAGCATGGGTATGAGCCAAGGTTTTGGATTCTTCGCTACGATGCGCGGTGCCTCTCTTAGGGACCCCGGTGTCAACATAATTACCTCAGAATAATATTTTGTTTATTCAGGACTCTTCCAAATCACCAAAATGAAAAGCAGGTGAAGAAACTCGGTTCGGCACCCAGATAAGTCTTTCCCTGACATAGACCCAAAGTAGAATTCCCACTGAACATGTATTGGAAACCGTGCCACTACCTACTTGAGGACCACATTTCAGCAAACATAATTAGATCATAATAATTAGCAAAACACCTCTCATCAAAAGGACCATCAGTGATGGTGTTGAACCAAAGCATCTCTCAGCTCCCAATCGATGGCTCTCCATTGGAACAGCTTGGGAAAACCACCGGGTTTCTGCGCCTCCCGAGGGCACGTCCTCGCCGGCATCGGCCATGGGCTCGTCCACCTCGCCTGACGGCGAGGGAAGCGTGGAACACATGGCGAGGAAGGTGTCGGCCTCATCAAACACCCAGCACCTTCAAAGGGGTCTTCAATAGACTACAATACTTAGGGATCTCCATTTTTCGCACCCCGACATGAAGGTCGTCTTAGTTTGGTCGTTTTGAACATCGTCGACTGAACATGGACCATCCAGGTGTGCTGAACATGGACCGTGAGCCGTTGCTCTGCGTTGCTGCGCCAGCGCGAAAACCCAAAGGAAGAAGCGCATGTGACTAAGCATGTGTTGTTCCAATAATGCATTGAAAAAAACAAAAAAGTGTTGTCAAAACACTGGTAAAGACTTATTTGACCATTCTCAAGGGTAGCGGGGTAGCTTCACCTATGCCACCCCAACAAAAACAACAGTTGACCTGCCAATTGCACGCTGGGCATGGGGAAACCCAACACAGGCATGTCCCCGCATCCCGACTGGCACCTCCTGCGCTAGTCGGCTCATTTCCTTCAGTCGCCTCGTCCTGTGCAAACGAGGAACAAGCACCACATCGGTGGTTGCAATCTTTTAGCATGTTCTTGGTAGGGAAGGGCCTCCACACACTGAAAGAAGTTGAAAACCTAAAAAGTAAACACTTAATTGATCTGTTTTCCATGGACCCAGGTCTGAGGATTGACCCAGTTCGGGGAAATAAAAATCACCTTATCCACCAAAAAAAGCATTGTGATTGGATCACGTGCGGCCTCTTGTCCAAGGGAGGCTTGTCCAAACCCCCCCGCCTCCGGCATGCCCCGACCGGGCCGAAACGCCCGGCAACCGGTCCAAAAAGCAGGTGAACGGCCCGCGGGCTTCGCCCAGGACGCCGGCGCCGCTGGATGTGAGCCCAAGAGACGAAGGCGGGCGACGGATGCGCAGCAGGTACTAGCTTCTTGTTACTACTAGTAAGGCACCTGTTACTACTAGCGTGGCATTTGTTACTACTAGCTTCTTGTTACTACTTGACTTGCGAATTGGCCGAAGCAGAATGGCCACGGACTGACTTACTTGCTTATATTTTATACAGCCTCCTCCGAGCGAGGCGCGGAAGAGAAAGAACCGGCCAAGTCTGCCAAATGTTCAGCCAACCCTTCTTGAAGCGTTCGCCAAGACAGGTCTTTTTGGGGGGGAGCGGCGTTCTTGTAATGAATGTGTTCCTGCAATGAAGTGGAACATCCAACAACCCAAGACAAAGCCCACAAACAGACCTTCACATACAATTGTACGACTCATCCGAACAAATCTTGCACAGCCTGGACCTGGGAACCTCTAAACCATTCTAAACCCCTTCGAGGACTCTTCCTTGCCGGAAGCAGCAACAAAAATGCACATCCACTTGGACCCAAGTGCAGGGTGCTTTGACCGGCCAGTTCGCGTGGTTTTGGCCACTGCTTTGACCCGCGAGCCCGCCCCAGACGACGACTCCATGAGCCCGCTTTCGCGGTACTGGACAACGATGGACCGAGAGATGCGGACGCGAGGCGGGGTTACTAGAAAGCTTTATGGTTACTAGCAGCGATGACCTCCATCCTAGTAGCTTCTTGTTACTATAGAGCTTGAGAGACCAGAACTAGGACCAGAACTAGGGTTACGTATAAAATGAGTTATAGGGCTGTTCAACCTCTCTTGGCATGGTTGGTGGCAGACATTTCCAGACATTTGAGGGGCAAAAAACAGAGTCTGCACTTTTGCACGTCGTCCTTTCAAGGGATTTCGCCGGAACTTCTGGGCGCAAAGCACGTGTGTTCCTGCAAGAGGTGCAGTGCCGGGTGCCCCATGCGCAGCGTGCAGTTGAGGCTCCCTGCATGCCAGCCCTCCTTCGGTGGTGGGAAGTTGTATCCTCGCGTGCACATCGGTGATTGGGGAACTTCGTCCAATTTCGTCCAGGGCGCCATCCGCTGGTGTCGGGATTTCTCTCATCGCCCCCAACACAAAACCAGTTCCGAAGCAAATCACTCCGCGCAAGAAGCTGCTTGAGGTTCGCTGACCATGTCCAAAAACAACCACAAAGTAAGCAGCATAGAGTCTCACTAGTGACCTGTGGTGACCAAGTCTGTGCCCTGCACCCGGTGAACACATCGACTGAGTCTCTTCATGACGTCTGACATGGTCTTCAACGTCCAGCGGGGCGAACCGGGGGGGTTTCGCCCAGCTGCTGTGGCTTCGCAAGTGGCAAGCGCCAAAAAAGTAGCATATGCTAGCCCTGACTGGTGGTTTGGACATGGAGTTGATGGCTGGATGTGTTGCAAGGCCAGTGCTGGGCTCCTATTGGTCATCCAACCCAACATCCCACCCAAGTCCGATCAAACCTTTGCGATCTGACCAGGGATCGCCACAATGGTTTTCCTTTAATAAAACCGTCACTTAGCATCTCCCCGATCCGAATGGCCCTGTTTTGTGTGTAAATGTGGGAAACCTGGCTTGGGTTGGCTGGTGCCTCAGCATGCGCCCACAGCAGTCCACACACAGCGAGGTCCCATTGAGAGTGGCCACTATCGGCCCCCACGTGCCATAACTCACTTCCAATGTTCCCAGCACCGAAGGGAATCTTCAAGTGGATGTGTAGACCACTTCCCCGGGCTTAGCGGTTTCCCCGCTCAAGTCCACATGAAACTCACACCAAACTCGCGGAGCAACTTGCTGAAGAAGGAATCCCAGGTCCTTTGCAGAACGCGTAGGCGTTGTTGCTGCCTTTGCTTGTGGGGCGCGAATGGGCAAGTTAGCTGTTCGGTGTGAAGGCTATTGTACAAGGTCAGGAGTTAACAGACCTACAGAATGACTAAGGGAGAATTGAGAGAGCCACTGCCTTCTTAAAATTTCACACACCCTGACACCCTTCCGGTGCAGGCCTGGCCTATCCCCCTCTCTCTCTCTCTCTCTCGCGTGGAGACGCTCACTCTCTCTACCTCTCTCAGCGAGCACCTCTGGGGCACGATTACAAGTGTATGGACCCACTAGCACAAAACACACGCACACACACATCCATACACAGAGGAGTGGGCATGTGTTTTTCACGCCACTGGATGAGCCATACCCCCATTCGAAAGAAGTCTATGATCATCCACCACCTTCACCTTGCGGTCCATTTTTCTTGCAGCTGCGTCAGCAGGACTTCAGAACAACCTCATCGTGCGAGGGTGAGTGAGTGTTGTAATGGCATGCTCGGGTGTGAGCCAAACAGGGCCAGCTCTTTGCACCATAACTTGGATTTGCTGTTCAGGAACCTGGCAAAATAGAATACATTCCGATACTCCCCAGGTTGGAGGACTTAATCATAGGGAAAATAAAGCATCACCTGCTCCGCTGGATTTGGTTCACTGAGTATACTGAGTGTCCCTAGACATGGCCTGCGACCGTGTGGATGGAGCCTTCCTCGGGCGCTTCTCTTTTCAAGTTCTCAGTCCGGGACTCCACACATTGCAGGAGGTAGCAAAGCCGAATGCAGCGGATTCTCCATGGAATATCATGGAATGCTTCCCCGGGCTACACAACCCCGTCCACGACGTAAAAGTTGAGGTAGATCCTACAACTCCCACTGGAAGGACAAACTTGTGCCATCTTATACACACTGCATGCACTATCTATATAAATGTAGTACGTACTATGTCATGTGTTTAGAATCAGTACTTGAGCAGCGTGCTTGAACCCCTAATTATCCAAGAAGAAATACACACACAGATCATGTCCTTTTGATAAACCTCTGTACTTGTTGGTGAAGGACATGCACGGTGCTTCAAGGCCTAGAGGGCTTTGCTTTTGGGATGTGTTCTGCCGTCACACGCCCTGGCTTTCGGAGGCCTCGAAGCACTTCTCATGGCTTCCCAGTGTCCAGCAATGGCTGCTGCAAGGTGAACTTCTGCATCAACTTGGCTCGCTCCTGCCATTGCTATTAGGTTGGAGGCCAACGCCATTAAGTTGGAGGCCAACCCGCTCGGCACATTCTGCCGGGTGCCAGTTTGGCACGGTTTCTTCGCGTTCAGCGTTGCGTCAGGTTACCAAACACGGAAGCGGAGCGTGGAGCGCACGGGGTTTGGACGACATCGTCGTATCAACCCCCGACTTGACGAGGGTGAAACGAAGTACACTTCCTTGAAAGAATGGAAGTGGACAACCACCTGTTTGCAGAGGAAAATGATCATCTAATTGGCCATCTTCCACTTCCAATGGCCACTTCAGGCAGTGTAGAAGACCCTGCAGTTCGTTGAGGCAGTGACCTCCTATGCTGGGAGAGCGTGCCTGAACGGTACTCTCCTGCGAGGAAGCCATAGACCCCTCTCCAAAACCCCCGCCTCATTGAGCTGCACGATTGTGCTCATCAGTCCTTAGTGCATCGCGACCAATGCTGCCGCAAGGACAATCATTCTTGATCACCAAACATCACGAGGGATGACAATAAAACTAGCTCGGAGGCCATCGCTAGTAGCTTGGAGGCCATCGCTAGTAGCTTGGAGGCCATTGCTATTTGGTTGGAGGCCATTGCTATTAGGTTGGAGGCCATTGCTATTAGGTTAGAGGGCCAACAGATCTTCAATGAGGCCGCCATCCGCCACAACACGGAAAGCACGGAATCGGACCATCGGATGAGGCACCGAACTCGGCCACTGAAGAACACGCCTCGGCCGCATGACCGGCGCATGTTCCGCATCAAAGATGAGGATGTACAGAAAAAGGATTGCGGCAGGCCGGGTCGAGGTGTTCCCATGTGTTCTCCAACACCTTGGCGCGCCAAGCTTAGTCTTTGCCAAGTAGTTCCTGCATTGCGCGTGCCTTCTGCACCGTCCTCTGAGAACGTGCCAGAACTCCGCTCGACTGGTCGAACGGCCGGAGTCGTTGCTCTCCGTCGATCTTCCGCCGATCTCCGTGATCTTCGATCGTCTCGGTTGGATTCCGCGGCATTCGAAGACTTCAATGAGGACCCAGATTGGATGATTGATCCCATGTGTTGGTGTATAATCTCTTCAATTCAATGAGGACCCACCAATCAGAGAGTTCTTTCAGGCATGCGGCATTCAAACAAACCCAACACACCAGCGTAATTGCTGCTCGTCGGCTCAAGCAAGCACCCACCCCAAGCCTTTCCTAAACAAAGTGAAGGGGGAGAATTCCGCAGAAACGGATACCACACGTGCGCCTTAGACGCCTTAGAGATCTGAAGTGCTCACTTTGCAAGCTGCAGGTGGTTACACATGCGCCCAACCGTGCACGCTTTGGACCTCGCCACCGAACGACCTCCGAACCGCGCCACCGAACCGAGCGCCAAGACACTGGCCGTCTCCTGCTGGTGACCTGAGGTCGGTCACGGACATGGTGGTGGACTTGCAAACCGAAAGTGAGCCCCAAACCAGCTGGTGAGTGAACAAAACCAATTGGTGAGTTGTCAAGATCAAATCCTCCGACATCAGAACATGAAGAATGCATGGAAAAACATGCATACCGGTCGTCGAACACTGGAGCAACCTTCGATGAGATTCCGTGACATTCCACTGGTGTGAAACGGAGCTCTCCCTTACTCGTAGCTTCTTGGTACTAGTGGCGATGGCCTCCAACCTAGTAGCGATTCCACCTAGTAGCGTCCTTGCCACTAGACTAGTAAGCAGTGCCAGGAGCTACTAGTCGCGTCTGCCATGTGTATTTGGGTCCAGCCACGGTTGTGCATCCACAGCAGGGCCAGCACCAGGCAAATCACAAGTAGAGTTCCAAAGAAACTCGTGAAGGCTGCTTCCACCCTGAAAAAAGCGAATGGGTCGCATCCAGGGTGCCCGTTGGTTCATTGTTTTTTTTAATGATGAATGTTCGCAGGGGAGATCTTCCGGGGAAGAACACTGGACCCTTTACCCTACAAGTACTTCAGGAATTAAATCAAAGAATCACTGCGTCCTCTGGCAAACTTTGGACGTTCTCTGGGCCTCTCGTGCTCTTCCTCCGCTTGCACCTGCAGGCGGTGAACCATAGCAGCATCAACCATGGGATCGCCGATGGACCATACGTATAATATATGCTTTCATGGGACCTTGAGATGGTCCAGTAGTCTTTTCTCATGATGTTTCACCGGCTTCGTGAAAAGGGCAATGACTGAGCGTATAAACACCTGTCAACGCCTGGAGCTGGACAAAAGATATCTTATGATATCTTATGAGATACTGGGTTTATCTCTTCAAAATGTTCATTTCAGGAGCGTGCTTCTTTCTCCCATTCCCTACGGTGTCCGGGCACAACGGCACAACCACCACATGCTCTCACGCACACAGTCATATGTTCTAGCATGTTCTAGCCCCATGTGTAAACCATTTGTCAGGACTCAGGACTGGCACGCCAAAAGCCCTATAGGTTGCCTCTACAGGGTGAAGCATGTGCAATGGCCTATAATGTAGACTCTTGATTAATAAGCTCCCCACATAGAAAGAGGTTTCTTCGATCCCCAATGGGGGTGGTTTTATGAATCAAGAGTCTACATGAAGTACACTCCCGATGTCACTCACATGGGCCCGGGTCGAATGGGACTCGGAGTCCGACTGTTTTCCTCTAGCTGCACCGGTTTTTCAGGGTCCATGGGATCGTATTGGGTCCTGCCATGTTGAATATGATTGAATATGGCCTAGTCCATGCACAGCCGACGAGGCCCTAGGCCGCCTTCTGATCCTTCTCTTTGGCCACTTCCAGGGCACTCCGCAGCGTCTGCCTCATGGGCAGAACGCGCAGCCATTCAGCTCGCCGTGGTTGGGCGCCCAAAACCGGTCTTTGATGGTTTTGGAATGATGGAAGGCCTGCGGAATGATGGAAGATGGAATGAGGTTTTGGAAATGATGGAAGACCAAGTAATGAGTTCCCACGGAAAAAACACAATGGCACATCGTGCTTTTCCGGCGAGTCACCTAGGAGAGACCGGGAGATGTTCCTCAAGCCTCTTGCCTGCCCACTGCTGGCAACCTGTTGCGGGATGACTTGGATTTGCTGTCCAGGAACCCGGAAAACATGTTTTGCAGGTTTGAGGGTTGGCCCAGTTCCGGAAAACCAAGAAATCACCTGAAAACCGCCAAAAACCAGGATGAAGTGGGGGCTGAATTAGCGGCAACAGCTGAGCTTCCAGCAGCTCCATCGACTTGTTGGTCCCTGCTCCTACGTGCCCAGCGGCGCCACGCGGCGGTAACCCACGCGTACGTCCGTCCAGCCCGCAACGCGTTGACGCACGAGTTCCACTCGATTCCGATTCCCTCTGTACTTCGGAGCCGTGCTTGGGAAGAAGTTCGGGTTCCACTTTGGGTTCGCCCGTTTTGTTGGTCCCTCTGCGTTTCCAGCGTGAGGAAAATGTTTGCAAAGCACCGACTCTTCTACTGGTGGGAACTCTTTAAAACATTGTTGGCTCTTGACATCTATTTAACCAAGACCCAGGAAAATTAGAATGTGTTCATAAGTTTCCAGTGCAGCAACCGACCAAAACAGCAACTCAGTGACAAAATGCAAACATGCTTCACACGAGGTAGACCAAGCTGGCAGCAAATGCAACCCGTCCTAGCGACATGTCCCACACAAGGCCCAGGAGGAAAAGCCAGAAGCGCCATGCCATGGCACAACCGCTGGGAGGCACAGCTCTCAGCCTCTCACTGCAGAATTCGTCGTCATTCCTCCTAAACACCTTGACAAACACCGACACAGTCTGTCTGACACAGTCTTCTTAGGTATCCACTTCATGACTTTCAATGCGAATGGTTTAAGAGGTTGACTGCGGGTGTCATTGATATAGTGGCCCCCAGAAACATCATCAAACATCCATCGCCTTGGAACATATCTTGGTCATACGTGTTTACTGTTACAACTTGTCTGAACCACTGGTTCTTCCAAAGCTTCCCGTCAACAAAGGACAGGTCTCAAGAAAAATGTTGGCAAAGAAAACCACAACTCTCTCAAGCAGCTCGGGATGGTCAAGCTACTTCTGCATGAAAAGTTGACATCCTTTTTCACCAGTTGGCGAACACCGCCGCAATCGCTCACGTTCACCAAAGGTTCCAGTTGTGACTGCGCCCTGTTCGGAAGCTGGGTCCAATCGGGTGATGAAATGAAGGCTTGGCGGCTTGGCACCACGCCCTATAGGGTTCATACCTATGTTGGACCTGCCCAACATCGACTGGGCTTTCAAAGGCTTCGTTTCTAAGCAATTGCGCGTTCTGGGTGGCTTTCCGGACCGAACGTCCGCGGACCGCTGGAGCTCAACGGCGGCGGAGATCCGGCTTTCGGGGCTGGTGGGGAGTCCGGGTCGACGAAGCTGAGGAGGAGATCGGCAGGTTGTACCGAAAAAGGGCACAGCCAGCCAGCTCAATCTATATAGACCCCCCAGCTCATAGATAGAAGTTCGTAGATCCCCACCCACAAAATGCAAGAGGAAACCGTGCCACCTTTGGGGACCACTACGCACCCAGAAACCCTGAAAACGATCTTGAACGCCTTTTTTTCATGTTTTATCCAGATCCAGGGTGGCTGTTGATCTTGCCCATGCAAGTTGCACAAATGCGGGGGTCCGGAATCACTGCCACAGCCCCAGAGCGGTCGGTCCATCAAGACCCCTGTTGTTTTAGGAGTGGTGATGCCACATCCCCAACGTCAACCCCCTTTCCCAGTTCTCTGAAATGCATCAAACCCGTTTCGCCAGAAGTTTTGGGTCCATCCATTTCCGGACCCCAATGGTTCGGCAACAACCCATCCACGGGGGACCATTCATGACACGCAAAAACGCGCGTGAGCCGAGCGGCCAATGGCGTTGCTGAACCACCACCCAGGCCTCAGGCGGCCAAAGCTTCCCACGCGCGGGCCCTGTTTTCGATCCAGAGAGGGCGGTTGTTTTCACTCAAACCTGCTGGAGGAACAAACATAGAGCTTTGCTCCCAATGAATGGGCCCTGAGAATGCGACAAAACATGATAGCAATCAAGCAAGATCGATCAAATCGAAGGGTTGGTTGCAGAATGCAACAGGCTCCTTTGTCATAGCTGAACGCCAGGGTTTTTAATCACAAGATGCAACAGCATTTTCAGGAATCCACAAACAAACACACGCACACACGCACGCACAACTACGAAAAAGAGACGGCTGCTGCGCGGTGCAAACAAAGAGGATTAACCTAGAAACGAACGAACAACATACCAAAGACCACGATAAAATGAACCAGAAAACATATATGTTCACTATGTTCTGCAGTTTTGGTAGCTTTTTCAATAGTTCTTTTGTTTTCATGTGCATGCCCAAAGGCACCAATTCAAAACATCTGACAACAACACACAAAATCTGGGAGCGCGTTCTTGTTCTAAATGCCGTCTGCAGCTTGTCGTATTCTTCTCATACTCCTGGAGACTCAGATTTCTGGACTTCAGTCAGAGTGAAGCGCTGCAGTATATCATGTCTGGAAGAGCTCAACCGTTTTCCAATGCCTGGAAGCTTGACCATCATGTCTCAAGTAAGCTAGCCCCCCAAAAAGAGCTCAGAGGAGGCCTTTCCCCCCCCCTGTGGAAGCAAAAGGACTCAAGTTTCATGAACATCTGCCTCCCGTTCCACATTCCATCCAGCCTTCCCATCCACTCACGTCTCCCGGTTGCGGTTTCGTGGTGTCGATCGGTCGAGGTCGTTTTCAAGACAGACAGTGACCGGTGCGTATGGTTCGCCCCAGTAGCCCAGGCAGCAAAGACCAACTGGGACATAGTCTGGATGACGAAGATCAACAGCCTTGTGACTTGTGACTGTGCAACTTGTCACTAGCTCACCAATGTGCACCTAGGTTGATCGACACCACGTCGGGAGGAACACCAACATGGGAGGTCTGCCCACTCGACGTTCCTCCAAGAACGAAGCTGCAAAGGACACCCTGCTGGCCACGCGGCGATTGGCCCCGAGCTTTCCAGAAGTAGAGGAAAATCGTCTGGCTGGCCTCACGAAAGGATGCGCACCAGTCAGATCCAAGGGAACATGTCCAGGTCTGGCTTGCCTGGAACGATCTCTGTTTCTGGAGCTTTCGGGCGGACAATGGCAACATCTCTTGCCTATCCTTTCGCGACGCAACTAAACATTGGACTTGCAAGGAATAGTGGCAACCGCGCATCTTCCCGAAGCAAACGATGCCCCGCGGCCGAGTCCTTTCTTGCCCTGTGGGTTGTTGAAGCATCTTTACGGGCTATGTGGGGGGTTGTTCGGGTCGTGTCCAAACGGCGCTCGCAGCGCTCGCGTGACGTTTGGACGGCATGTGTTCAGCATGTGCCAACAAGAATGGGACAAAACCTCCAAGGACTGTGGAGGAGTTCAGTGAATAGTGATGTTGTAACGAATTTTACAAGCATCAAATTGGCATGTTCGCCTGAAAACTGCCTGATGGAACTGGCCAATGGCATGGCCAAATGGACATGAGTTGCCCCCTGGGTTGAAACAAGTGCTCGATGATTTGGCTCATTGGCGCGACTTGTTCGCGCCGTGTGTGGCGGTATTATTGTAAGTCATGCAATTCCGCGTGAACTTCATGTTGAAAGCTGTCAAATGTTCATCATCTCCACCAGCCCCTAACAGCACCAAAGGAAATTCCAATTGTCCAAGTATGTGGATGGGACATGATTTTTTGTTGATCCAAGAGCAAAGTGAACAACGCAAAATCGCTGGAGGCCTGGTCATCCTTGGCCTTGTCCTTCTTGTACACTCGCTGCCCTCCACGGTGCAGCGTGTGATTTCAACCGGTGGCCAGACCGCATTGTCACTGCGGCAGGTGAACCTACCCGCTCATTCCGGCGGACCTTTAAAACCGGCGGTTTCATCAGACAAGGCAACACGACTGGGTTGGTTGGCAGTCGGTTTTCCAAAGGTCTAATACTTAGACACATCGTTGACATTCGTTGACCATCCTTGACCATTTGACAAGCGACTGTCTTGCCATGTTGATCCAATCATGCCCCACTGAACACTGCTGCGCCAACGGCGCATGATTCCCCACATCAGCCAATCGCCCTTCCCTGGGTTGGAAGAACTGCGAATTTGCGAAGGGATGCCACTTTTATCCGTGTTGTCTTCCAACAAATTGTCGTATCCCAAATTGCCATGATTCAACTGGTTGCTTCAACTGGTTGTCTTCCGTGTTGTCTTCCAACCTTTCTCCGTGCTCAACCACTTGAAAGATGTTGAAAGAATCCCGCCCTTCCTCGGACCCCAAAATGAGGGGTTCCACCGCCCTCGCGGCCCCGACCGTCCCCCCCTCGCACCGTGAGACTGGCGATTTAAAATGGGCGCATAGGTTCCAGCCAAGATCTCGGCCTGGGCACTGTTCAGGCCCGAGGAAAGTTTTTTTTACGATCAGAGGCATGGTACGTATGGCATGGTTTGGGGCTCGACCCGAGGCAATGCAGTCATAGAGGAGGAGGATGGGGCCTGGTTGCAGGATCTTGTTCAACAAATTGTTCCAAAATAGTTACTGCACTATTTACTGACTGTTGCAGCTCAGTTTGGACAGACCCAAGGCATGTTGTTCTTTGCCTCCGTCCCAAGGTCTATGCAGGTGCATGCGAAACCGACGGGCACCCCTTGCACCCTGTGCACGCGCACGCACGCCGCGCGGTTCACGCCGCGTGGACGCCTGGAACCCCCCTCGGGTTCGTCGGACCGCTCCGCCGCTTGGGGGGGGTGTGAAACCCCCGCGAAGCGGTGGAGAGAAGGGTTTTTTCTTCAGACCGAGCCGAATCACCATGGACCAATTAATTTAATAGGCGAGTCATCACGAATCAACTAAGGATTTTACACTACAAACACCAGGTCAACCATTTTCCATTTTTGTTACAGGCCTTGCAATTCTAGGGTTTACCTGGAACCCGGACATGACCTCTGTTTTGATAGGAAGTTGGACCATCTTTTGGGTGGTTGGTGGTCCAAAATAGAGGTCGCAAACAGGTTCTAGGTGAGTCATAAGTCATGGCTAGTTAACACAGCCCAAATGCTGACGCAAATGCTCAATTGTCTTGACAACATTTGACAACCGTACCGTATCACAATTAGAAGGAAGGTACACCTGTCAGAGAGGGCGGCTATGTGCATGTTTCGTTCAAAAACCCTCCAGCTGGACTTCCCACCCAGGCAACACCACCGAGCTAGTGACTGAATTTGATCTACAGTAAATATCTCTGCAGCAAATCTATTACTACATCAATAATCACATTACACCCAGGAAGATTAACATGGAACCTGAAGATGGACTTTTGCAAGACTATTCTCCTCTACAACCCAGTGGTTATCAGGTTCCATGTTAGTTTTCTGGCGCGTGAGCGAGCCCGTCCAAGACTGCTTATTTTGACCCTCTGAGCCGGCAAAAAGGTTGAGGGATGGCGAAAGCGCCTAGAAGTCCAAGACTGTTTTAAAAGGGGTCTTTAGGTGACCCGAAAAAGGAGATTCCTTTAGCTCGGTGGCACCCAAAAACAAGGTCTAACTAAATCACCTTAAATCTAAACGTTCGCCGACGCACGAGGGACCAAAAACCACTTCTGAAGATACATCTGCACCGTTTTCGCTCCACTTAAACTCGCTGGCCTCCACCCGCTGGGGCGCCCGGCCCCCACGACACGGATGGCCGATCCGGAGGCCACATTGGGATCCAGCTCGACCACCACCTTGGGAGGGCCAAGATTGACCCCGCCCGGGCGGGTCTGCTGGCTCAACTGGCGAGAAGGCGACGTTGGTGACTGTTTTCCACCCGAGCTCCAATCGTGAAAAAGATGCCAGTCCGTATGCGAGAGTCGCCCTCGCCGCGGGCGGCCAAAACCAAGCCTGCGACTGCAAACTGGTGCAGTTCCACGAATGGACACCACTTCCAACATCCAACTTCCAAATGCAAAAACACCGTTCGCAGGGGCTTCAAACCTCCCACCTCCTGGAGACACGTCGACCTTCCACGGTTCGTCCGGGGCGACCTCCGCAAACCCAGACGCGGCACGCGGAACCGTGGCTCTGGGAGTCCCCGGCCGTTTGTCGTCTCTCTTGGTACCACTTCTGGGGGTCCATGGCGGGATGCGCCGGGACGCACCGGCCGAAGAAACGGGTATCCCGTTGTGGCTGCCAGACGACATGCTTGCGCTTGGCTCCGAACTGGCGGCTCCCAAACCACCGCTCCAACCGATGTCACTCAGTGAGGGGGGGAGTCAATTCCGAACACCTGGGCATGAGCTAAGACGAGTGTTCGATCCAGCCGTCTTGGGTGTTGATCAACGCACTGACTTCGTTGACATCTGACTGGTCAAGCAGCGGCGAGACTTGCGAGCAGTCACAGCAGAAAGGACTCCAGCAGCATGCAGGCGAGACTCGAGGTGATGGGGGTGGGGTGGGCCCAGGACTATAGGCTATGGGTTATGGGGTTGGTCGGAAGGGCCCAGGGCGTGGAACTTTATCACGTGGATGTCATTTGGAAGGGCCCATGGTCATTGATTTTACTGTCATGTCGATGTATGGATGGTGTCATCGATGATTTACATCGCCTCAAGACGTCCAAGACTTCCAAGACCAATAAAAAAGACATCATGGTTGATCTGTTTCATAGTGTAAAATCCTTAGTGCATTCATCGTTTGTCCGATACAGACTATTTCAATGGGGATTCGACTTCTAGGGGCATAGTCATGTGATGTCATGTGATTCAAATGGGAGCGGGGTACGGTATATTTACAAGACCAGTCCTGACCTACACCGAAGCCTGGCTTCATGGCTGCTCAGCCAAAAAAACAAAACATGTGCGAAATCTATCGAAGTCTAAGGAACACTTATTGACTATTAAAGAACCAATGAAAAATCCAATGCAAAACCATCTTCTGCCAAAACAAGACTTGCCATAATCAACTTTCAGAGATCGACGGCCCAAATACGGCCCAAATATATCCAAATATACTATAGAAGACAAACACGACAATTGAACTTCGGCCGTTTTTGGGCGGATATACAATGCACAAATCACTGCCCCTGCCAGTCGCAAGCAAAGAATCCTGAATGTCTCGTCACAAAACTAGCTCTCCAAACTACAAATTAAAACATTCACAAGAAGCAAAAGGCACTGCAAGAAGTGACCAAGAGTCCCAACATCTCCACAGGCCAACCAAATGATCTTCGGGCGAACCCCCTCTTTACCCAACATGCGCTTTACTCAGTCGTCAGCGCCCGACATACCCTGCTCCAGTCCAACGTGCCAGTCCGTCAATACCGAGGGTGCACATCCAGAAGATTGGTCACGTCCACTCCACCTAGCTCTGAAAAACCGGGCCCACTACGCTGATCCATTGGGTCCATCCGATGACCTGCACCAAAGACCCCACGGATTCCAGGTCAAGACCCAAGATGACCCAAGTGATACATACACGAAACACCGGGACACGCCGTCGAACCACCGCCGAACACCGTGAATCACTGAAAACGGGGAGGCATCGTTCACTGAAAAAACAAACGAACCGCCTCGTACGAGGTGGTGCAGAACTGTGAAAAGACCCGAAGTGTGGAGAAAAAAGACAGAGAGAGAGAGAGAGAGCTACGTTCGTAGCGTCCGATCGCTCCTAGTAGTCATGCCCAAATTGTTCCGTTCGTAGCAAGAACGCTACTAGTTTGCAGATCACGGTCCAAACCGAGTCTTCCTCACCTTTTGGATCATTAGTCTTCCTGAGTTGGAGAGCCGGTGAGACCAACAGTAGCACGGGTCAGTTGTCAGGAAATCTCCGGCAGCAAAAAGGTAGAGGTCCTGAACAGTTGAGCCACTGGTGCTCCCAAAAAATGCCGAAATGAGGCCATGAAACATAATGAAACCACCTGGATGGCCTTGGTTTTCAACACACCAAAGCCGAACCCACGGCTTGTGAAAGGATATCACTCTGGAACCATGAAAGCTTCCAGTCATCAATCAAGATCCATCAAACGGAGGTCGGCATGGCAAGTTTGATGCATTATGTGCAGCTTCGCTTGAGCTTCTTATGCAACATGATCCCAGCTCAAGCTTGGTAGAACATGGTCGAACTATGATGCGGCGTTCGTGGTTGGTCAAGTGAATAAGGGGTCGGGCGCCATTGGTCTTCTTATGCCCCTTTCAAGGCGAAACCCACATACGCGCACATACGCGCACATGCGGCAGCGTCCATGATATTTCTGGTGTTCGACCTGTGTTCACCCCAGCCGTGGCACATCTCTGACAGTGCCCCAGTCTCGCCCAGACCAACGCCCCACTCTCGCCGCGCGCGCCTTCGGGCCGCGCGAAGGCGGAGCGCCAACTCTTCGCTCCCCGAGTCCTCCAGCTGGTCTGCCGACTCGGCCCCACCTGCACGCAGGCGATACGCTCGCCGGTCGCTTGCAAGGATGAGACGCTTGGCGTTCGACGTCGGCTGGGGCGACATGGAATGACCCAGTCATTCAGTCTCAGTGGATTTGCCATGCTCAAAACCCCAAGCAGTTGGCCCGACTAGGTTGTCCCACTCGGATCCGGCACTCTTTCCCCTTCGTTCGTTCGATGCCGCAGGGGCTGAGGCGCCGTTTTCAGAGACCCATTCGCCTGCGAGTTCAGTCTCTCAAACAGACATAGCGCCTCTCAAAAGAGTTTAGGAAAGGTGGTGTTTGACATCATTGGACGGTGTTTGGGAGTAGAGGCCCATCAATCATCTTCCTTTTCAATGGCAGGTGGACTTCAACTTTGGGGGCATTAAACTGCCGGTGGATCCTACATAGGAGAGCTGCTTTCAGAAGCTTGGAGACAAAGAAGAACTGGGACCTCCTGGAACCGGGAAGCCGGAGGAAAAACAAAAAACATATTGGGGGGGTTGACCCAGTGAAGGGGAAGAGATCACCTGAAGACCGGCAGTTCACCAGGAAGTCCAGGACCAGCTGTTGGAGGACCGCGGTGTCCGGCACCGCCCGCTTCGGGGCAAGGCTTGCCTCGTCCTGCGCACCTCGCATGAGGTACGCGCGAAGGCCGGGCGCGAAGCGGGCGAAGGGCAGGCGTCCTTGGAAAACGGCACAAGTCACTGATCAGACTTGATGAAAATCAAGAAACCGTCTTAAACCAGCAGTCACATGGAGCTATCCATGGTTCGGTTCGGAGTGTTGATCCACTCACTGGATGGGACGGGACGAGCCACACCACCCCGTCGAATGTGACTCTTGGAGCATGTTGCTCAAAAATGCGACAAGTTTGTTCCTTGACAAGTTGAGTCCAAGAACGTCCTGCCTTTTCTGCCTGAAACTGCCTGACTTCGTTCCCGCGTTCGTCATCGTGCGACGCTGACGCTTCACACCCCTTTTTGGCCAGTGCAGGGAGTGTAAGCAAGTCTAATCTATCTCTTGGTTTCACCAAGGCGTTCTCACTGTTTCTTCTCACTAGCAGGTTCCTTCGCCTCCTTTCCTTTTTGGGCGGAGAGGCCTCAGAAACTCAGCAGAATTCACGGAGGGGAAAGAGGTGATGGACAAATGGGCGGATTTCTTCACCAAAAACGAGCCAAGCATTCCAGCCAGCAGTCACAAGACGGGGTGCTATCCATGGAGGTTAGGGGTCCTCGGTCCTCGTCTAGTGACCCCTGGTTCTTTGATCCGATCCTGGATCCTTCTGGCCCGGCGGCAAGCAGGAAGCATCTTGTTTGCAAAAGTGCCGGTGGCCAAAAGGAGCACTCCAAGGAACCTGCGGAGTAGCTAAAAGCGGAGGTTCAAACGGCTCTGTGCTCAGTCCGAATTTTGCTTTTCTTAGGAAGGAAGCGCATGAAGTACATGTTGGGCAAAGGAGTGTGGTCTAAGGGTTCGATGAATTTGCCTCAGTGAAGAACTTTGTGGCTATTCAATCTGGGTTCTTCCCATTTCCGGTCGAAATCTTGGGACTTTTAAAAACTGACTCTCACCATGCGGGACGTCTTACTGCATGACGAGGAACTGCCAAGGCGTGACTTGCTCATGCAGCCACGCGATCGACAAAGCAATCACAAGGATAAGATTCAAGTTGCCGATAATGCCTGTGTCTGTTCCAACTGGAGTGACATCCAGAAGGAACTCTGTCTGTCAGCACTGGAGTTCCAGAAGATGGTTTGACATGTGCGCATTTAAAACGCAAACACCGCCATAAGACACTACTAAAACAAGGAGCTTCAAGAACACTGGAAAACACACGCGCCCGTATAACGTTCTTTTCTGAAAAAAAGGAAGAACTCCGCGCGCTGCCGCTTGCTTGGCTTGTCAAGGTGCTTGCCATCAAAGCACCCACCGCCTTCATGGCGTACCACTGTGTGATGTTGAGACACACGGCTGCCACGATGGAACTCAAGAGTCCAATTTGAGCATTGGTACCTTGGATTCTGCTGGCACTCGACTCGGTGGCTCCCAAAGTCCTGGAACATCAAACCAACGGGTGACCCGGGGATGGACGACTGGCTGAGGGACCACGTGTATGGCCCAAACGCTCCTGGAACATCAAACCTCTGCAGGGGCCTGGACCCGAACCAATCCCTCTGGTTTTGATGGACCAGTCGGGCTGTTTGGAGCGTCTGGCGGGGGAAAAGAAGGAAAACAAAAAAGAGAACGCATCGCCGAAGACCCGCCAAAGCCAGGGTACTGACAGTCCGCAGGCTCCTCAAACCTTCCAAGCCTTCCTTGGAGGCCGCCATCATCCTGAACAGTTGGGAGGACATGCTGGGGCGGAGGACAAGCAGTTCGGGAGGTGTCACAAAGGATCGTTGGATCACAAACAAAACGAGACACAAACAAATGGAGGACATTGCAGGACCATTCAGGATCCCATTCCGATTTGGCCCGAGAATCACCAAGGTGATGCAGCCAGACCAAAATCCATTCCAAAAGACCAAGCGCAAGGGAGAGAGGCTCACGGAGACCAACTCATGCTGCCACACACCGCGTGCTGCCCGCAAGAGGGCGCTGACGGTGGCCAAAACGAAGGCGGCAAGGGAGACATTCACCTCACCCTGGACGCAGCAAACACTACCAGCGCACACCAGCCCCACGGAGAAGGCTGAGGCAAAGTTGAGAGAACGCCTTAGGTCGTGCACATGCTCGCGAGGTGATGCGTGCACTGTGAGGGCTTAAAGAAGAGAACATCAGAACACGTTGGTGACGTTTTTTCATACCAAAGTGGCTTTCCTTTCAGAAGCTCCAGTGAGAAGGTCATGAAAGGAACGTTCGCTGCAATCATGGAGACAAATGCTACCCCACCATAGAGGAATGCCGAGTTGTTTGTGAGCAATGAGAGGCCGTTCAACACGGAGATGGGCAACACCTTCAAGGCTTCATCCATGCTTGGCCGTTCGAAGATCAAGGTCACAATGCACACGGCGAGCATGTGCATCGCGGTGATCGTGTTGGGAAACGGGTAGCCGAGATCGATGCTCTGTTTCACAAAGACCTGTCGAGCGGCTAACTGATCGCATGCCCAAACACTCCATGGGACTGCCATATATGCCGATCACTTGGAGTAGTTTTGGGGGGTCTTTTTTGGGGCGGCAGTGTCGTGTCTGGGTCACGTCCGAACGAGCCCTTCCAATTCCGTGTGTATCCCTTGAATGCCCAGGGCGTCTGTTCTTTGTTTCCCGGTGCCTTGACCAAGGTCACGGCCGACAGGTAGGAAACGAGCAAAACGAAAGCTGAAACGCCCTCGTGGTATGCAATAGGGCTGATAGCTATCAGGATCAGAGCCTCGGCACGAAACTGAAAACAATTGCTAAACCCGGGAATAGTAACATGGAACCCGAACATTTAGGAAGGCTATTGTCTATTGTCCTCTATACAACCCAGTGGTTTTCCGGTTCCATGTTAATCTCCCAGGCCGTAAGCTCATCAGGCTAACCTCAGTGACGGAACGAGATCATTGAAATGGAAAAGGACTCGCTAGGGAGCCGGCCACCAATCCATAGACCGCGAACCAGGTCTTCTCGCTGGTGTCGCCGTCTGCGACGGCAACTTGAGACAAAGAGATCGACGAGCCTTGATCGTATTGATTGTTGAGAAAGTCTGCGTTCATACCGAACTCTGGCAGAAATAACGGGCTTCTCCTTGACAGGGTTCGACCACATTGTCGGGGAAATAACCCAAGGATATGAAATGTTGCACCGTTTTTGGGCTCTTGCCGAATACAAAACACAACCAGCGGATGAACGTGAGTACCCACAGCAGAACCCTAGCATCTTGTATTTTGTTGTGTTTAGCCCTTAAAATCCTTGCAAAGGCAAATTTCTGAATATTTCCATTGTGGTAGTGATCGTGGTAGTAGCACTAGTAGTAATAGCAGCACCAGTTGTTGTAATAGCAGGTAGTAGTAGAATGATGTGTTCATAGATTGAACATCTAGTGGTGGTTGTTTGTAACTACTTGCGCAGTCTAGATACTCCAACAAGAACTCCATGGAAAACATTGGAAAACACTAGTCCTGGTATTTTCTGCAGGCACGGCCGCTTCCGACTTGGCTGTCATTTTGCTGTGGTGGCTGTCATTTTTGGCGATTGCATCACCTGGGTTGAACTGCAGCAAGCTGGTGGTCTCACACGTCTCGCTCTGAACGCAAGCGACTAGAAAGCCGTACAGGAACCACAGACTTGTCATCGAGTTCGGTCTCGTTTCATGAACCGTACAGTAGTACGGATATGGGAATGGCACTTCAATTTGAGCCGAAAATGGCCGAGCAGCGGCAGATCAATGGCAGATCAGTGGCCATGGTTGGTGTGAACATGTTTTTGCTTGGCGAGTCGCCGAAGAAAATCTAAAAAAAATCAACGGTGTGGCCAGGGCGCTCCATGGATCTGGAAAACTGTTTGGCTTTGGTCCAGGAAACCAAATAAAATCCCCATGGTGTGGGGGGGTGCACCCAGTTTGGGAAAGATAAATCAATTTCGAGTATTTTCCGCGAATCAAGGCAATAGCTCTCCTCTGCAAACCGCTACCACAATCTGAAAGCACCTCGGCCCGCGGCCCCATGGCCACGGCTTCGGAACCTCGGCACGGATGGTCGCTCGACATTTTGGAGGATCGCACGTTGCGGATCCGACTTCGAGCTTGGCAACCAACCCACGACAGGTTCGCAACCTTCACCTCGAGGCTAGGCCAAGCTTGGCCATGAATTTTGGACGTCGGCATGCACGGGAGTCGCTGGCCTGGGGGTTCGGCAACCCTAAAGCCACACGCCTCTTCGAAAACGTTGGAACCTGCTGGAAGTCCAAGTGGCATTTCGGTCACTGCAGCCCGCCCCCACAAAAAGAAAACACAAACCGTGGGGACAAAGCACCACCAAAGCGATGCTTCCATACTCTTACTCTACCTAATTATGCGCAGCTGGGGTCAGAAAAACATCATTGAGTATAGTGATCCGTGATCTCCAAGTACTGCACGCATTTTTGGGAGGATCGATTTTCCTATCTACTTTGGGCCCTCTACAGGGTCAACCTGACAAAATGTCCATCGTGTCCATCTTGGTGAGGCAATGGGGGCACTTGGACCAACTTGGACCTGTTAGTGGCTGATCGAGCAACGCCGAAGGTGATTCGAGTGATTGGAACTCACTCGTCACTTCATCCTTGCCACAAACCCAGTCGCAAACGTCCCTCCGAGCCTGTAACGGTCGGGCCCGGAAGGCATGGGCCTCCTCGCTGAGGTCACGGTCGGGTGCAAGAGCTTCTTCAGGTTCAATGAATGCGCCGAGTGTATCAAGTCGCATCGGTTGTCTTGTAAACGTTGAAAATCAATCAGGTGCTCAGTTGCTGGTAGCTAATTTGAACAAGTTTTTACGATTCTCGTTTCGTCATCCTGGCGCTCTTTAAAGCGACTGAATTTGACAAACTTGAGCGGGGAAACACGAAAGGTAGAGACGGACCGAGTAGCTGTCGGGACCGTTTCTGGTGAGGGACTGTCTCCGGTGTTTCAGGAACGTGCCCCTTGGTTAATCATGGATGAAACCAACAAAGCCAGAGAGCACAAAAAGGCATAAGAAGGCTCAAGAGGAACACCGTTGCGGTCAGATTGCGCCACACGGCTCTGCAGAGAGGCTGGGTTGCGTCGACGCTCGTTTGTGTCTAGGTGTGAAAACAGGCGCGCGTAAAAGTCGCAATGCGTAAACGCTCGCATGTGTACCAGCTATGGTCCCACAGCTGCACGCACTGTGTCAGGATTACAGGCCTGCACGCGTTGCGTCGAAGCCGCAGTGACTCAGTGACCAACCCCCTTGTAAGGATAGTGCTGGAGGGGTGCGGCCGGTACTGCCAGGGATGGACGTCACGCTATGGTGGGTGTGCTCCACGATGCGGTAAGATTTCGCCACGCTAGGGTATACGAGGGGTTTCTCCACAGGGCTTTGCAGAGAGGCTGTGTTGCATCGATGCTCGTTGGTGTCGAGCAAATGGTCTGTGAACGCAGTACGCGCTGTGTCAGGCTGCCGGGTGCGCACGCGTGGCATCGAAGCTGCATTGCGCGACCTCATTGCGCAGGGTTCGTGCTGTATTGCGCAACCTCATGGCCAGCGTCGCACTGCTGTGACTGTTAAGCGCATGACTTCACCTTATGTCCAGACTTTAGTAGTGCTGGCGACGAGGGGAGGGGACGGGGAGGGGAGTGGAGGGGAGGGGGGGGGGGGGGGTAAGGAGGGATTTATCAATCAATCATTTGCATGGGGGGGGGGGAGGGGGGGTGGGGGTGTTAGACATTGATCTACCAATCTTTAGTCCCGAGCAAGCTCTCAAGCCAGTCCCTTTGCTTCGCAAAGCAAACTCAAGGTAGTCTTTACCAGGCTACCTTTCGTGATATTGTCTCCAAGAACGCTGCCAACTGCTCAACAACACCTCTGTATGTTGCAATTTGGGTTGGAAAGTTTCGATCTCAAACACTGCCAAACACCCGAGACAAAAAGTAAAAACAGATAGGCAAAAAAAATTTTGTTAGCAAACATCCCAAAGAGGAATCCTACATGTTGCAAAACACCCAATTCGAACCACCATTTAACTCCACCCAGAATGGAACAGCCACCGGTTGGTAACAGCGCCCACCGTCCAAGCAAATGACAATACAAAAACCACGAACACTGATTTTGACTATCCAGCTCACCCAATCATCCTGGGATGTGAAAGATGCACAGTTTAACCTCTGTCCCTCACTTTACGTTAACCGGCTGCTGGACGGAGGATGACGGAGGGAGATCAATTGAGACAAATTTCCCAACACAAGTCCTGAAACTGGTTCTAAAAACTGGTACATCTCAACGTGTCGGTTTCTTGTTTTTCGGTGCAGATGCCTGTCACTGACAGCATACAAGGGAAATGTCAGTTAAACGCACTGTCAGACATACTTGTTTATAGATAGGCACCTCCTTTCAGGCGGGGGCGGGCCTCACCCTCCAAAACAAATTGTTCCGCCCTGCCTCTGACCACGCGAACACGCCATCGGCATTTCACGTCACACCTGGGAGCAGGGCACGGCGGCTTTGCAAGGGGCCAGCTACTGTGGTGTCATCTTCACATTTGATGAACTGTCACACAAGCCTTGAAGACGTGCACGCTAGAGCCTGCCAGCGATGCTTTCCTGACGTTACACCTGCAGTCATTGGAAAATGTTTTAAGCCGACGGCGGATGGCAAAGCGCAACCCCTGCCAAATATATTTTACAAACCCGCGGCCCCACCAACTCAACAACACAGACCGTTTTCCCTATAGGTTTGGATTTGGGACCAGTTTTTTGGGGGAACATTGCCGCCATAGTTCAACCAGAAGATTCCGGCTGGGGCCCCTAACTTCCGGATGTTTTCCTGGCAAACGGCTGCCGACATCGCCGGGCCTCAAACGGATGCGTCCGTCGTCTTCGCACGCGGTCTGTTGTGAGGATGGAAGGTGGGAGAGTGATTGAAACCGTTTTCGCATGTTGCTGGGATTCGGAAAACAATTCTCTTGATGACCTTGTGGCGTGCCGGTTGTCAAACAGACCGAAGGAGCCCTTGATGGGGGCAAATTCTCGGCTAAAACGATTGATAGGGGAGACGGCAGGAACGAGGTAGGCGTCAGAAGTGAAAGGACGTACGTCAACAACTGGCAGAGTGAGTGCCTGAGCGACTCGGTGACAGAGTGAGCGGTTCCCCCGTGCGCGTTGCATCTTTTGATGAGCCTGCCGCAGCCTGCCATCACAACATGTTGGGCATGTTTGTCAGAATGATTCGGGCGGTGCGACAACTCAAAATCGGCTGGCGGCACCGTCCGGTATTGCGTTGGTCTCAAGAACATTCGTTGAGTTGCCGGGATGGGTTGTGTAAAACATATAATAATGCCATAGCATTTCAAGCGTTGAACGCCACAGGGTCACAAGTATGAAAACACCGAGCTCAGCACAAGGGCACCTGGACCAGAACATGGCCCAAAATGTCTTGGGCTGCCTTCATTGGCTCACTCGCCCGGTCCAAACCCCAGGCGCTACCAGCCATCCTTCGCTCTGCCGCTCACCATGCTTGGATGTCTCGGTGGGCGGCCCACCTCTCCACGGCTGCGATGCGAGCGTTTGCTTCCAGCCTCCTTCACCTCCCCGCGTCCAACCCCACACAGACATCGAAGGCCCAGAACCTCACTTCCGCGACCTCCTCACTGCCTGCCGTTTCCCTCCTCCCCAACCCCCCAACTAGTACACCTTGGACTGTGCATATCTGGAGGTTGGCCAGTATAAAAACCGTCTTACTTTGAGATCCTTGAGCACATCTGGAAGTTGGCCAGTATTAAAGCCACCCAAACTCAGCC